CTCCACTCCCTGCCCTGAGGTTGGTGGGAGGACACCCCAAACCTGCCGAGCTCTGTGGAACCTCAAAGAGCTCAGAGCTCTATGGGATAAACACACCTTTTTACCTCTCTTTCTCCACCATTCCAAGTTTTAGAGGATGCTGAGCCCTGTATTGAATGTGAAGTTATCCCAGCTCTGAAGCAGACAGAGTCAGCTCAGACACTTGCCTGTCCTGCTGCTGTGCAAGCTGCCATCCCTGTGCATCACTTGTGCAGCTCAGCACACCCAGCTCCAGCACCAAACACGTCGCACAGCGCAGACACCAGGAACTGCTACTGGAAAGAGAGATTTGCAGTCAGGTGAGTCAAAACCTTCAGTCAACCCAAGAGGTAAATGCAGAAATATTAAAAGTACTCTACCCAGACAAAACAGAACCTGCCTGTTGCCTGAGCCCTGTTTGTATCTTGTAGCATTCATTCTGAACACTAAGGAAAATTTTGCTCTTACTGCTGTTAACCCAACCAAAGCAGGGGGAGAGAAGGCAGCATCGCCATGGGTGTAACCAGGAAGCCTGATCCCACCAGCAGGAGTTACCTGGCTCCACAAAATGCTCCTCAGGAGCTGTCCACTGCGTGTGAGTCCCGAGTCACACGCAGCAGAGGAACGAGTATTTAACCAGCTGAATCCACACACCAGGTCTTTAAACACTGAAAACACAAAGATACTTTTTTGGAAGGGGAGAAAAAAAACACTTAAAAAGGAAATGCGGCCATTCCCCACACCACACTTGGGGCTGTAAAAGCTGCTTCTCATGATCTGCTTTAGAAAACAATAAACAAGATAAAGAATGAATCTTAAGCAGCAAAATGTCCTCCGTACAGGAGAAATACTGCAGTGACAATGAGGGTAGGTACCTCCAGAAAAGGTACCCAGCCTTGCAGGATGTACAGATGCGATGCTGAGGAGCGGTGGCAGGATTTGCCCAGATCCAATCCTCTGAAATCAGCTCACGTAGGCACCAACACAGGTAATGTTTTTCCTTTTAATGGTGAAAGATTTTTAGAATGAAGCAGAAACATATCATGTATTCCATGCAACCAACCTCATTTATTGAAAAGTCCTAATTTTATTGCCTTGTTTAGTAACATGTTTGTTCAACAAACTAATCTTTTTGTCATGAAGCAAAGCACAACTTTTTCTTATAAATAGTATAAATTATTTTATTTACAGAAACTTGTTACAAAACAAATAGACTATATATTTCTTTTCTTCTTTTAAATATCCAAAGTAATTTTTTCTATCTCATGACATTTGTTCATGTACTATACAGCAGCCAACACAGGGTTCAGCTGATCAGATGCTCTTGATTATGTATACAAATTATCAAACTATTCACACATTTTACACAGGAGATTGCTTTTAGAACCAGGCTCAACACCGAGCAAGATGCTTTCAAGGCCTACATTCACATTGACATTATGTAGTGCTCATGTTAAAATCATCTTTCAAACGTAAAATATCTTTGCACAAAAGGTAAAAATGATTCTTTCCTGCTGAACAGCAAAACATTTATAAGAGTCTTTCTAAGCCCAATTCCCTCCTCCAGGACAGAATGAGTAAAAGACAAACAGAGAGATTCCTTGGCAAGAGAACTCTTACAGGAAGACGACTGCCTCAGAAATGCCATTTGGAAATCACATCTATTTCTGAATGCTTTTAAGAGGTACTTACTTGGGGTTTTGTTTTGTTTTCCTGGATACCAACTCTTTTGACCATCTTTTAGATTATTTATGAATACCATACTCCCCTTTTCCCAAAATGAGACTGAAATAGCTGGTTAACACCACATTTTCCAAACCCTTGGCATTACATTAAACACAAGTTATCAATGGGATTGTTCCAACACAAGGTATTCTAATGAAAAAAGGTTTTTAAAAAAAGTCACCAGAATCATTTGCTTTGTCATCTCGTTCATTTCAGAAAACACATATATATGTATGTGTGTACACATATACACACATACGCACACACATACATATACACATGCACACATATATACAGGTGGAAAAAGCAAGCTCCAAAGTTTCAACTGAACATTCAAGTCTTTTAAGGAGAAGCTGTCTATGAACAGTCCAAGCTTAAAACTAGTTTTAATCAGGCACTTTCAGTTTTTCCGTTAGTTGGAAACCACGTGAGACCCACACACGACGCACACACACGGACACTAAAGGGAAGAGAGAAGCAGTGTGTCACTTAGGAACTAAATGTAGTCATCCGGGAATCAGGCAACTGAGAAGTAATGCCAGCATTGACCGTGTGGGCTCTGACCCTGCACCCAGGATCCTATGGCAGAACCCGACCGCAAGGATGGATCGGCTCCCAAGACAAGGATGAGGGACACAGCTTTCACAGCACGGAGGCATCCCTTCACGTTGCAGAGGAGGCCTGGGAGCTATTGGCTTGGCAGTGAACCACTTCAAATGACAGAAAAAAACAGGTATTTGCTTTGCTTATTTTTTTCCTGTACTTTTTTCTTCTTTTTTTATTAATTAATTAATAAATAAATAGTAGATGATCTCAATTGTACCAAAACTGGATATAAGAAAAAAAGACCTGTGCAAAAATACATATTTAAATATGTACAATCAATTAACAAAATATGTCTTTTCTGAAATAGGGATACTTCAATATTTATAATAGAACAAGAAAATTCCAAAATAAAGATACAAAAGTATGGGGTTTTTTTTGTCTTTTTTCTTTTTTTCTTGTATAATTCTTTGTTCATCATTGCAGCAATTTTGTAGGTTAAGAAAACTGCAGGAGTCGTAATGTGAAGTTGGAAAGATTTATAAAAACTGTATCTCTTAAATTAATACCAAAATCTGTCTAGAAACAACCCAGCCACTGCAAATTCCATTTTGCATGGAAAAAATTAATTGTTAAGCTTTCTTAATTATTTACAGTAAGAACTATGTGATGATAAAAAAAAGCTCCAGGAACAATGTTCTGCTCATAACCAAGATCGAAAACATAATATTGAAGCAGGTCTATGCTCAAGGGCAGACAGGATTTAGGATGTTCTAACTCTTTACTCCCAACGTCTTCCAGCAACACAGGCACTGCAGAAGCAGCGATGGGGAATTCCGATGTTAACGTGGCTGCACGCTACCAAGGGAGCATGAGTTTGCCATTATGCTTTCAGATCAACAGAACCTTCAAAGACCAGAGGAGAGCTGGATCACAGACTCGCTAATGTTCAACCTTGGCCAAATTCCTGTTTCCTTTACCTCTGTGCCTATCAAGAGTCAATTGCACTTGTGACTGGCGCTATTCCGACATGGAAGCTCTGCCCCAGGGGCTTCATCGGAGCGTGGATTTCACTCCAATTTCTCTTTGTGGCATTACCACTTTGGTTCCTTTCACATTATCCCAATTGCAGTTGTAACAATCCTTTCAACAGGGCATCCTTAGGGGTTCCTGAAAAGTTGTCTATATTTAAGTTTGCATAATAAGTGTCTCTAAGTACATTGCTTTCTCAAATGTGATCTTTCTCATCAATTCAAAGCTAAAGTGTCTGCATAGAGGCTTCTTGTTACTTTGCTATAACAATGATTTCGTAGCAAGTTCAGGTAAAACTGAAAGCATCGTTAGGTAAACAACTATGCAACTGCTACTCAGAGTGGCTTTGGATTCCCTACTTGCCACCAGAACTGGGGAGAAGGCTGGGCTACGCAAACAATTGGACAGGCTCAGATTGTCTCTTCTCAGCAATAGCTGGTGCCCCTTTAAGGCAGGAAAAACCCCCTATCTTCTTGGTTAGGAATCTGTTTTCCTTTGCTTTGCCCCCTTTATGAAAGTTTAGGTCAGTTTTAAAACTTTACCTGATGTTTAAAAACTTAACAGAAACATCCAAGTAGATCAAATCATGACAAATAAGCCCTTTAGTGGAATTCACTTTTGAGGTGTTTTGGAGCAAGAGAAAAATCATTCATCAAAACTGACTGGACTATATAAAATTGGGTAAAGCCCCTTTACTCAGAAAGCCTGGGGTAGGCGTGGGATGCTCTGCTGCCAAATTGGCCTTTATTCCAGAACTGGGTAGTGGTTTTGAAGCATAACGTGTCAAAGACATAGTTGTACAAACAAGGCATAAAGCAACTGGCTTTTATGAGTTTTCTTAGAAAATATCTGAATACTTTAAAAAGGGCTGGTTTTACCAGCTGGAAGGCAAATCCAGCCTCATTTAACCAATACACGTTATTCCTTTTAAGTAACAAAGGCCTATGGTATACAGCATATGTCAATAAATACGTTCTTTGGGCATACAGTTTTAGAGGTTATTGGCCTTTGCCTGTTGGATGGTTTTGGATTCTTTTAAAAAACAAACCTAACTTATTTTCTTCTGCAACCAAATCTTATTCTAAAGAACAGAAAATAAGGTTTGTATAATGCTAGTATAACATTTTTATACTTGTTTTTTAAGCAATGGCTTCAAATAAGTTTCTTTTCTGGGTTTTGTTGGGTTTGTTTTGTTGCTGTCTTTTTGAAACTCCTGATAGCTTCTTATCCCAAATTACTTGCAAAAGGCTGGGCAAAACAGAGTAGTTTTTTAATTGTGCTATTTTTATATTCCATTAAAGGAACATTGCTATAAGAACACTAAAGCCATATTCCCTTCTCGAGGGCTTCTTTCCCCTGTGCCTCACACATTTTTCCCCCTTGTCACAGGGTCTTCTCCATTGAGGGTGTCTGTCTGGTTAGCTATCACCTACAAAAGACACCATCAGTATAAAAATAAGTCCACAATAACGTTTATTTCCTCACAGAAAACATTCCTTTGCCCAGCCAGTCTATGTCCAATAGTGGTAAGATGATGTACTCCTGTAAGTAAAATCTCACAGATTTGTAGCAAACAGTCCAGACCACCGTTAACACTGATAAGAACAATGATGTGGCTGAACTTCATCCAGTGTCCATTTCTAGTATATTCGCTGCTACAGACATGGCTTCAGGGAAATTTCTTGTTTAAGTGACAGTCCAGTAGATTTCCACACCTGAGGACCATGGGAAGTTGGGAAAACTCAAGGCATCTTGGAGTCCAGAAATCCAGATGGAGGTTTTGCTTGTAGTGAAAAGTGTCCAGTTTGTTTCTCACCGTGGTGCATCCAGCTATCAGGGACGTGCCTTTGGCTTTGGAACAAGCAAAAGAAAGAGAAGGATGAGTGAGGCAGCTGTTAGAGCAGGTTCCTTAAAAGACATATTCTGGATAACAAGAGCATATTTTGGAAAGCATCAGCAGAAACAATGTGATACATATGAGGTTGTATCCTCCGAGATGTTGTATGTAACAACATGAGGTTGGCTCCTCCAAGACCTGATAATTCTCAAGCTAAAGCTCTTTAAAGTTACAATGATTTCAGACAGGATTTCCTTCCTTAATTCACCTCAAATTATACTTCTCCTTTATACTACATAGTTGAAAAAGAAACTACTAGGTAAGTTCAAAAAGAAATTCAGCCTCTGAATGCTTCTTTTTTGTTACAGTGAACACAATATAATGGTGAAAAATCTTCATCTATGGCTGAAACTGAAAAGTAAGAAACCATTCTGAAGCAGATCTTCCTGACCTTCCTCTGGGTCCTGCAGGGACCCAGACATCAGGTTATCAGTACCAGGGGAAACAAAAAATTTCTTAGCTTTTCAAACACAAAATGTAGTTCTAAAATTCCATCTTCTGTCTTCTCCTCAAGCTTTATCAAATATTTTTTTCCCCTCCAAGTGCTCCTACAAGTCAATTTGAATAGTATTGTTAAGAAGCCTGAGCCACCAGTTTCTAAATTCTCATCCTAACTTACAAGAACTTTCTCGCCCAATAGATTACTTTTCCAGTGCAATTTATCTAAAAACAAAAAAAAAAAACAACAAAACCCTAAACTAAATTTTAAAATGGTATCTTGTATATTCAGATCTGCTTCCTTTATAGTAAATCTATTTCCTTTATTGACCTAAAAGGTTTCTATCTTATTCATAACATTTAATCTCGTTATTACTAAGAAGTTAGTCAATGACACCTTGGGATAATAGGTTTATTTTATCACAGTATCACAGTTCTGTTATCAGCAACATTATGTTCCATTTTGTAGAATGTTTATAACTGACACAGAAACAAGAAGTCAGGCTGAGACACAGCTCAGTTCCATGGCTGGCTGGCATGATTTACTTTTAAAATCATTGGGTTTTTAAATGTGAGGACTGGATTTCACCTAAGAGCAGTTCAGAGGCCACATCTAAGGAACAATTTAAAGTTAAGTTTAGAAGAAATAAAGCTACACTTTATGAGAGTGTTTAAAAAAATGTACTATAAAACCACTTTAAATGAGTAGTGGACAACTAAGAGAACTATTTTTTACTTGAATAGGATCTGAACTTGGCTTGTTAATAATTAAAAGAACACATGCAATAAAAGCAAGTGAAAAGGCATGTTCATCCTGGCTCACTTCAAGAGAAAATTTCATACCTGATGAAAAAGAGAATTGTTCATCAGTCCTTGTGTCCCTGGGATTGCACCAGTGTGTTTTGCATGAACATTGTTCACCGATGTCAATTTGGCAACTTTATTTGCTTTGCTGCTGCTGCTGTTTATGCTGCTTGAACCAGGTGAGCACTTTCTTTTCTTTCCTATTAATTTGTCAAGGGAAGTATGCGAATGTGAAAAACTGCTGTGTGAATTTACAGTCAGCTCACTGGATTGATGAACAAATGGCCCTAGGGAGAGCGTGGAGTCGCTGCTGTTCATCATCACACTCATTCTCTTTATCGATTCTGCAGGGCTTCCAGTTGGAGGACCCCTCCCTGATTGGTCATGTTTGAGGCTAACAGAGTTAGCTTTGCTAGTCATACAGTTGAGGCCAACGCTGTGGGACGAAGCTGTCACTGATGGATGATAGGAGGTCCCAGAGTTTCCAGAGTTAACCACACAGTTTTTCCTAAAGGATTCCGTGGAATGAGAAGGTGCTAGCAGTGCGGAACTATTTTTACGCTTCTTTCCTGAGCCACCACTGCTACTGACACTGCCGGTGCTGTTACAGGTGCCACTGCCAGCAGAAGATTCCTTAGGTTTAAAAGATTTGCTGGATTTCATTTTCTGAGGTTTGCTGGGCATAGGTGAAGGTACAGAGGAAAGCACTGTAGGTGTTGAAGGGGATGAAGACACTTGTCTTGATTGCATACTGCAGACAGGATCCACTGCACCCAAAGTAGCAGGATTGGCATTTAGTGTTGTTCCATGTGATGGTACCGATTTATTATTCAGAGACACGCAAGAAGGAGATACCAATGCTGGCGATGACATAACCGTGGTGGGTAAGAGGAAACCTGCTGCATTGACACCGTACTGCGAAGCAGGCGTCGAGTTTGTCCGATGAGGTGCACGAACTGATGCTGTGTTACTGGCTGCTGGAGGAATTTTCCTACAGGTGAACAGAAAAACAAGTGAAAACCTATGGAGCTAGTGTTCTTTGGAATAATATCAAGTCTAACAATGCTACATTAAAGTGTGTCGAGGCTGATTAATGCCACTAACATTATATTAAACTGACAGTTAATTGTTCCAAAATATGTAAAGCAGACTACCAGCTATAGATCCAATTAATCTGAACACAAGGTTACTGTTCTTTAACCAGAACCACAGGTTTCACATATTTCTACAAATACCAAGAAGAATAAGGAGTCTTTCAGTTCTACTCACTTCCACATCTGTGAATTAATATGCTTCTCCAACATGAAGTCAAGTGCACATCGAATATGGTTCCACCGCTTGTCAAACACGTAATAACCTCTTCCAATCTGCTGACTACCAAATGTGCAAAACTGGAAAGAACAGATTTTTGTTGGTGTTTTCTACTTTTAGTAACAACTCACTGAATAACAGTTTATTTACAAATAAATCCTGCTAAATGAGTATGTTTTTAGATGTTTAAGATTAAAAAATATAAATTACAATTTTTATTTCTATGGTGTAACACCATTTTTATTATGATCATTTTCTTCCCTTCTGATACTCCCATAACTACGACCAAAAGCAGTGGTCAAAATTAATTGCCTCTGATTGAACAAGGGAAGGATATCAGTTTGAGTTTATATAAATACATATACATGTAAGATCTACTTCTGAGGAGCTATCAGCTCTCTGCTCATAGTCTGTATTTTTCTGCAAAGGAGATATTTTTTTATACAGGCAAGGCAATAAAGCTTGTGCTTTTAGACTAAGCTTTTGTCAAGACTCAATTATTAAACCAACACATCACTGCTACCTGTACTGTGATGAATGGCACCTGAAGTAAAAAACTGTGTGCATGAATGGGGTGGGGGGGTGCAGGCTGGGGGGAGCAAGTCCAGTAACAAAATCTCACCCAAAGGGCACTGTTTACATGTTTTTATTCCAAACCCACAGCCCTTTAAAGCAGTTACCAATTTGATCCTCCATGTTTTGTGTTCTGATTTCTTTTGGACTTTGAGGAAGTGATCTGCAAGCATAGTTCTTTAGCACATGTATTTTAGAAGTACAGCTAAACCTTCACTGCTTACTATGCAACAAAATGATTTTCTTAAAATCCAGGGAAAGCCCCCAAGCATATCCAATACAAAACAACCCCTAAACCCCCCTCAAGTAATTTGTTTGCAAGTTCAGAGCCAGTGAGAGACCAAGGTTAAGTTTTACTGGGAACGTACAGCGGCTGGTTGAGGATGATGACCTGAAAAATGACAATCCAGTTTTTCAACAGGCTCTTCTTTTTCATCACATTCGCCCTCATCACTGGATAACCGAGATGCTGGCTCAGCTGCAGGCAAGGGAGGGTGCGGGGACTCGTGGACAGAAGGAGACTCACTAGGGGCATTTCCACTGTGCTGGGCTGGACAGCCTGGAGGCCTAGGCAAGGCAAGCAGGAAAGGTGTTACTGAACTAAATCTAGTTAAAAATTCCAAGCTTAAATGCTTACTACTACCAACAGAAGGAAATCTACATTAACAGATCTCCGGTATTTTCCAGAGTCTTATAATACATCCGCTGGTACCCCTGGAAAAGCAGCACTGCCCAACCATTGCTGAACCGTCAGCAGTCAGCTGACACTGCTTTTACTATTTCAAACACCAAACCCTCCTTGCTAGGAGTTACAGCTCAGCAGGTAATTGCTAATTGTACAGTCACCAGGCCCAGAGCAAGAATTCTTCCCTGTCCAACAGATCTGTATCGCTCTTTCAAAATCCACCTGATGAAGCTACCAGTATTAATTTCATACCATGGGATCTGCAGGTTTTTCTTACCTTGGAAGACTGGGGGGGTGAGGTTTGGGTTTGTTAGGTAATAAAGGCTTTGATTCTGTAAGAGTAACTCCATGAGAATTTTGGTGCAGCTCCTGGGAAGTTTTAGTAGGTGAGGGATGTGGTTCCCTGAGAGGGGGCATCTGCTGATGATGATCCGAATGTCGAAGAAGCTCCTTTTCCCTGGTTTTGCTTTTGTGCTCAGCTAATAACACATCAAATCGTTTTCTTCGACCCTGTACAGCCCTCCGCTGGGTTAAGGAATGTGTCTGCAAAACCATGAATAAATCATTAATCCCAGGCTATTAGATGTGTGGAAATCAAACACTCAAAGCATGTGTCTAGAGCTCTGAAACAGAAAATTGTCACATTCATGGTTTAGCAAATAAACAGAAGAATCATAGAAACCAAACTAAGATTGCTGCATGGACGACGATATCCCTGTCTGATAAAAGTAAAAGGCTTCTTTCAAATTTCTTTCTAAAGAAGAAGCTGCCAAAGTTCTTCTAAGGTTAAGACTAGAACCAAAAATATTTTTCACACTGGTATTTTAATTGCCAACTACTGCACAAACAAACATACTGAGTATGTACTTTCACTTACAAAAATATTTAACACAATATTTAAATCTAATGAAAGACATGAAAAATATTTGGAAAAATACTTTGCTTCCTTCTGCATAATAATATACTCCTTAAAAACTAATGCTATCAAATAGATACAAAGGAATGCAAAACAACAGAGCAGAATGCAGAGTGAGACCTCTGCGTATCCTGAATGCTACATGTAATATACGTGTTTATATGGCACGAATTCTAGGTGAAGTGAAAGAGATGGAAGTTATTTTTCTGAATTCTTAATTCACATACAATACCTTTTTTCACATGGTATAAAAGTTTTCCTTGGGTCAATTTTCATAGGCAAAAATTACCATCATGTAATTCAAACACAAACAGCTATTCCAACAGGAAAAATGTCAGCAGGTATAATGTAAGGAATTGCTGAGAAGCATTTTTACTTCATTTCTACTTTACATTTTTGATTTGCCTACATCTCTTGTAAAATCTTGAAGCTTTTCCCTTCTTTAGTAGCAAAACAATTGCCTCCCCCTGCAATTCCAAAAGGGCAATGTGTTCAAGTTCAGCTCCTCTGGCACATCAGGACCAGCTTCATTTACCTTTGTTCTGTAGGTGTTTTATTTACCAGATGATCCCCCTACTGACAGTTCGGCTGCTTTGAACAGTAGGTGATATTACACAGTTGCAGGGATCTAGATTTTTGGTTCCTTGGGACTGATACCTCTCCACATCTGACTCCCCAAGATTTTTGAGCCAGAGGACACATTTCATCTGATCAAAAAGATTTTATGGGTTGTTTAATTTAGAGTTACTAACTCTAAAACTTATTTCTGGGTTGGCTGTAGTGGTACATGAGGCAGCATGAGCACTTACACTAATACCTCCTAAGTATCTGCTGCAGACTTTGCTGGGGGGAAAGGAGAGGAGTTTGATTTACCTAAATCCTGCATAAACAAATACTTTCAATGCTCATGACAAATTTTAAAATTCATCATTTATGACCCAAAAGGTATCCCCAAAAAGATCATGCTGACCCCCTACTACCTACACGCAAAGGAACATAATCTGCCCCATGTCAATATCCATGTTTAAAAGGTTTATACAAAAATACAAACCTCCGAGTTACTTTAAAAAATAAGTCTTTGATAAATCATTAACTGAACATCAAAAACTATTCCTTCTCAGTTTTGGGCAACGTATTTTGAGAGGTGCCATTTACAGTGGTAATTACTGACAGCAGAAATCTTGAGTTTTCCATTTGCTGTCATATTCCTCAGGAAATTGAATTAAACTTTCCACAATTTTCTTCTGATTTCGATATCCTACCTTGCATGTCAAAGACCTAGTACAAGGTTTCCTGGTTTCCACATCTATGACACCACAGTATATATCAGGATCAAATTCTCTCTCTGTCAAAGGAACACAGTATTAAAAAGTTATCAAAAGACATTGTGAAACACTAACATCTATTTTCATTATAAAAATTAACCAGACTGGAATCTGTTTTCAAATGCAACACAGGCAAATGTAGCAAAAAAACTGCACAATAACACTGCACACAATATTGTCTACACTCTCAGCAAGCTTATGGTGTGCTGAGATAAGATCTCAAGTCTACAAACAGAATGGAGAAATTCACAGCTATAAGAGACCCTGAAGGAGGAGTAGATCCTACATTTTAGGATTAGAGTACACCACCAGTATGAACTATTGGTGTTCATATGGTGGCTTTTTGGGTGTTGAGAACTTTTCTACCATTCCACTAACACTCAAAGTTACTGTGCTTAAAAAGTGTAAAGGTCAGACAGGGTTTCCATTTTTTAAGGTGCTAGTCATTCCATTTGCTATGTACATTTTGGATCTTCCACATGGAAAGAAGGAAAGGAAAATACTTAAAGATAGTAATTCAATGTAATTTTATAACTGTAAGAACTGACACACCTTAGAGGTCTGTATGGTTTCTGAAAGCAATATCCACATTTCAAGTTGTTTGTGTTCTTTAAGAGTATGTCCCGTTATAGATTTAAATTCTAACATATAAACCATATATAAATACAAGTTAATGCTATAAAAGTGCTTAATTTACTTCTGAAGCTTATTTCTATATATTCTGTGTATGGGTTTCTTTAGATACACTACTAAGAGGCATATAGCAAATAATAATTAAAAACAATTACCTGACAATCTTTTATGTAAAAATTTCCTATTATTTGTATTTTCTTCAGGTTTCTTTTCCAAAAACGGAGGCACAGAGAGAAGACCTTTACCATTCAGTATCTGTCCAGGGGAAGGCAAGGGTGGCTTTGGTATTGAGGGACAATTAAGGCCAGTCTTTATTGAGGAAGTCACAGTAGTAGAACAAGTTGGACCAACAGCAGCTTTCAGTTGGGCACCATCTATCTTTGGATGAATCTTTTCCACTTTGACAGATGGAGTCATACTATTATTCATGGAAAAAAGAAAAGGGGGAAGAAATTGAAAACTACAGTCATAAATTATAAATGTACTTAATATGTTATTACTCAACACTACTCCGATCTATTCACAATGCAAATGGAGGCCTTCCTCCTTTATTCCCAGATTTTTTGTTCTTATCTTTGTTTTCACATTTTTTACCATGTCCGTAATCTCTTCTGACCTCTTTTCCCCATTTTCTTGTAAGCATTTGAGTGAGTCATCAGAGACTTCAGAAACAGTTACTTGGATTCACAAATAAACCTATTACCAAAGCAACTGGAATGAGCCAGTTGTGTCCAGTGAGAAATGCCCCGTTCTGTGACAGTAAATTATATTATCAGTTGTGTAGTCTCATGTGTGCAGGTCAAAACTCACCTGAATCAGAGCTAGAACTCCCTTATGATCAAAGTGCGCACAGCAGATTGAAGAATCAAGAGCCTCTAATAAAATGGCTTGTATTTACACTGATTTAAGATGCAGCTGTGCAAGAGTTCTTGTTCAACATAGTCATGTTATATCATTATATATATATATCATAACATATATAACATGATCATGTTATAATCTTAGACTAGGCTGCTGGAAAAGATCTGGAGGCGTTTAAAATGATTTCATACAAACTCCTCTGAAACACAAAGGAAATTCTACTGATATAGCAGTGTCTATGCAATAACATTTAGTTCTTTGTCAAAAGGCATACTCACATTTTATCATGGGGAACTTTGCTGTGCTGTACCGAATGCATTAACCTGTTGTTTCCGCTCATCTGCAGCTTGTCTTTGGGTGATTTCAACAACTTGGAATTTGATGATGATGCACTAGTACCTCCACTGGATGAACGATTGCTCCCACTTCCACAGCTACCTTTGTTTTTTGAAGGGAAGGATGAAATGAGGGAAAATACTGAAGAGGAGGGAGGAGTCAAAGGTGGCTTGCTGGAGGAGCTGTGTCTTCTTTCTGAAAAGGAGGAAGAAAAAGGGATTTTAAGCTCCCACACAGAAACAATTCTCAAATATTTCATGTTGTCATTTACTCCATTAACATTTTTCCTTTATTAGCCTGGGAGGTCCCCTGCCACACACAAAGCACACAGAATTCAAGCCTCACTCTAATCCAGGAGGTTCCACTCACTGCTGGTCCCCAGCTGGTTATGGGAGTCTCTTTTAACTTTGCGAGCTACATGCCTCAGTCACTAAAGCCTCGCTTTTAACAATGCTCCCCACTTTCCATCTTAAAGAACAAGAAAGTGAGAATGAAACCTAGACCTCAGACACACAAAGCAGAGAGACCCCTAACCTCCAGCCAAACAAGCTTAAATGTATTTCCTCAAAGGATAACAATTTGTCTCCTAATGGTCAGTATTATACATATTAATATGTTTTAACTTTGACTTCATAACAACCTTTTGGTATGGTCTACTAGACCTTCAGTGTGAGAACACCCCTGAGAACAATACCTGAAGTACTGACTACAGCGGATTTTGGGGTGTTGTGGTGGTTGCTTTTTGTTTGCTTTGTTTTCCTCTTATTAATTCTATAAGATTTCTATTTCCTCTAAAAAAAATAAAAATAAAAATCTGAACATCTGAATTGAGAGTGGTCAGGTTCCATCAATGAATGTGTTGGCAAATACATTATTTAATGTTAAGACATTAATATATTGCTAGCATCAATTCAGTTAAAATATTAAAGTAATTACAATTAATTAAATCAGATCTATAAAGTATATAATTAATTGATGCATTTAATGGTATTAATTACTATATTTGTTATTACTGTAATTATATAAAAATGTAGCTCTTTGGAACAATGAATTCCCAGTCACAGCTCCAGGGAGCCCCCAGTTCTGCCTACACATGGACACGTTAAATGACCTTTTGCTCAACTGATACTTGGGCACCTGAGTTTCCTCGATGATCTCTGTAATCAACACCTGCTTAAGAGACATCTGGTAATCAAGTATATGCAAACCTCAGATCTAAGTGAGACTCAAGAATTAGCAGGTCCATCAGAGGAGTGGAAATGCACCTTTCACCTCAACAGCAATGACACCTCTTCCTCAGCCAATTGATGTTAAAGGTGCCCAAATCCACCACCCCTCAATCCCAGGATCAGTTTACAGATTTTGACTTTAATTTCAGTAAACTGTGAAAGAAGCAGGCTACTCATGAAGTTACAACTACTTCAAGAGTGAAAGTCAAGTCCAGTGCAACCTGTATGAAAAGCTGTAGCACTCCTGAAAATAGAAATTAATACATCCATCTTCTGCTTATATGAGCTATTTTCATGTTATGAGCAAGCTGGTCTAGTGGAAGGTGTTAGGGGTTTGGAACTAGATGATATTTGAAGTCCCTTCCAACCCAAACCATTCTATAATTTTATATCCCCCGCTATCCTCAATACAGCAAACACTCAAATGATGACCAACAAGGACTCCATTCATAGCTGGAAGCCACCAAACAAGTCAGCACCAACCCTGCACCAATGTCATGAGGCACATCACCTGCAAGCAAGATTAACAGGGTGCAACAGCAAGAACCAGAAGAAAAAAAAGTCAAGCCACTCCAGCAGTGCAAGAGGAAGACACAGGAATCTTAACATCTAGCAACCTTCTTACAGAGGTGGGGAAGCAGTGTTTTAAATACGTTCATTAGTTATGGGAGGGGAAGGAAGGGGAAAGCATAAGAGCTTTGACTGGAATAGGAAACTCCAGTCAAGAAGCATCTCAGAGACTGAACCATATGATGTGTTTCTCTGTTTAACTGCACAATGGGTGCCACCTAACGAACCTTCGGCAAGAGAGTCATCAGTTCTTAATTAGTGTTTACCAAAAAGCTCTGAGAGGTCATGTGAAATGCCTGACAGAAATAAATCACTGCATTTATGCATCACCCATGTCAAGAAACAACTACTTTAAAATGACAGTGCTCAGAAATAGTTATTTGTGATACTCAAAGTCATCTACTTAGGTTTCTAGAACCAGAAGCCATTAAAGGGTTTGTAAGTGAAGTATGTTAGCACACTGACGTTCTAGTAAATAGCTGTGCTTTTAATATGACGTACTGCTTATTGCCAAATGTCTTTTTATAGTAACGGCAAGAATCCCCAAGCAGCTTTGATAAGTTACTATTTGAGGGCCATTAGTTCAAGCAATGCTACACCCTGTCAGATTATTCTGTGAGATAATGAGAAAAATTGTTCAATTCTCTTCCACCTTCTGTATATTTAGAAAATTCAAAGCCCAAGTTTTTACCACAGTTACAAATAATCTCAATCCAGTGGATGACTAATGCAATCATTGGGAGGTAAATGTGGCTTTTTTTTAAGGAAGAGAGGGTGTTACTTCCTTGGCAGATGAGAAGGGACTAGAGTAAGACTGGTATCTCCTTGCATCCCCATCATGAGCAATAAACTAGACAAAATATTCATCTCAGCTATTAATCCAAATGATATGAACACTTTTTTCTGGCAGCTTCAAATGCTACTGTTCTAATACTGAACTGTTACTGACTACTGTTTTTGTATGAACATTTCACAGCACCAGTCTCAAACAAGTGAGTTAATACCAAAACAAAGTGTTTAAAACTGCTGCTAATGAAAAAAACCCAAATAAAACAGAGAGAATTTCTATTCTACAGACAGATACACAATTTGGAACACACACAATTTCTGAAAGAGATGTTCTAAGTCTGTGAAATCTTCAATCGCTCCTTCTGTACATAACCATGACCTGTGTAATTTATCAACAAAAGGAAAAGACTTTTCAGCTCATTTGTCATAACCTGCCTGGACATGTTTCAAGTTGACTTATGTAGAGGTGGAGCTGCTACTGGGATTTATTTTGGCCTTTTTATAAACGTCATGTTTTCAAGTTAAATCTGCTCAAGGTTTCTTTTGTGCAGCATCTGAAGACTACTGGTGCCTCACCTTATTCCAGAAAGCTAATAGTTTTGAAACCAGACATGTGTTAGCATGGCAATCTTGATCTGATGAATCTATTTATTGACAGACATAGTCTTTTAATGAAAAAATTACTACACAAACTGTCACTGAATAATGAAGACCACCATGCTTATTATGCTAAGCATATTATAATGATAAATTCTACTAATCATCTGCCAATCTAATACAGTTCCCATTTCCCATTAACTCTGACTCAGCCTGAAAACATTAAAAAATATAATTATCTTCAGGTGTTCAGTTTTCATATTTTACAAGTTAGCATTCATGTCCTTTAATAATATTTCTTGAGAGAAAAACAACTTTTTGATGTCACGATTGCTTTTGCAACACATCAAAGTGATATTTCAAATACTGTACCTATGGAACACGGTTCTAAACTCTAAAATTTCAGGTAGGATTTTGTCATTGGTTTTGGTGTTTTGTTTTTTTAAATATCAGAACTATCTAAGTTTTGGTTATGGAAAAAGAACTGGGAAGCCTTCCTTTATCCCATAGCACTGGGTAGAACCTGACCTAAAACGAAAGCTGCATTCAATGCTAAACCTTACCAGACAAATTTCTCCCCTTAAATACCTTTGCATTTATGTCACATCTTTGTGATCCTAAGTAGAAGGCCTGTATGGAAAGTCAGAAAGCTGTGAGAAGAGATGGAATCACACACGGCAAAGGTTGCCTCTGCTTGGTGACCAGGATGTGTGTTATCTACCGATTTTGACAAATACAGCAAAGAGGTTTTGTGCTACTAGACAAGAATTAAATACGCATACTGCCAAAGAACACAAAACTTCCTGATGAAATGGACATTGATAATACAAATCTCAAGAGCTTTTAAAAAATACAAAGTTATACAGCTTCACTTGGCCCTTAGTCTGGCTGCCAATTTTCTTGGGTTTAAAATCTTATTTTCCATTGTGTATTTGCTACTAAACTTGCACTAATTTCTGACAAAACGCTAAAAAGTAACCTGGAAGGTAAACAAAAACAAGGGGAAAGAAAAAAGGAACATTTCTTACCCTGTTTGGCTACTACTACTTGTTTTTCCATCAAGGAATAAACACTTGGACTTACTGTGATTAATAACTTCATTTATTTTATTAAAATAAAAAAGATACGCCTTTATAGAGAAAAATATTGTTTTTCATAAAATTTTACTTTCTTTGCTGTATGCCTAACAACAACATCAAAAAAAGAGTAATAATACTCTAAACATTCCTCCCAAGTCTGCACTTAGTTCCCAAAATGTAGGAAGTGTTTTCTGTTCATTCTGTCTGGGCATCAATTAATAGCTTTGGGCAGCAAATACAGGATGCACAGATCAAATTTCATAAACCCTTGGGGTTTTTATACTCACTTCTTACGTAAGTGCTGGGCAAAAAGTCAAACTGACCTGTGTCAGTGCAAGCAAAGCTGTCGTTACAACTGAAGCACACCCGAACACACGGGTTTAGTTCAGTGAAATATGGAGCAACTTCAGTTAGCAGTCAGAAAAACAGCTTGAAAATAGGTTTAGCCTGAGTGTGTAATTCAAGAATATAGAATTAGATGTCTATACTGAAACAAAGCATAATGATAATTTCATGTTGAAGAAACTATTCTTTCATACCACTGTCTCACCTGAGCATGATAAAAGTGCAATTGAAAGCAAACATTTTTCTCCATCCAAGCTGCTGCTTCACTTGTCATTTGAGAAATTTAGTGCAGCCACATTAAAACAAACATCTTTCACCTGAGGATATCATCTGTTTTCTGTCAATATGGCTATTATATTCCTAGAGTAATTGTGGAGAGCAAATTAACTTGATCTAATTTCTCCAGAAAGATCAGATCCGTGGCCTGACAGGAGAGCAGGGACACTGCTGTGGAGGGGCATTTCACCAGAGCACCAAACCTTACTCAGCAAGCAACTAAAATCCCTTTTGTGGCTCTAACTCAAACGATCATGTTGGGCTCTGACTCACCATGACACAGGAATAAGAAAAACATTAGATCCATGAG